CATACATTTTATTTTATAGGAAAATTTCTATTTTAATTATTTTTGGTGGATAAATTACCTCTACAAAAATACCAAACACGTTCGCATTACAGCCAACGAATTTTTGAAATTTTGTCCACTTAGGCGGCACTGTGCAGATGGNTGAGCGGGTTTTCATTTCTTCTTTCGAAAACTAAAAATCGAAAGCTATAATAAAATATAAAAAAATAACACATTTTTACGTATATTTTTTATTCATTCCATTAAAGTTTACCTTTTTTTAATTTTGATAAAACAATTTTTTCTCTCGAATAGCGCAGAGACACACTGTGCTTAATTTTATTCCAAAATTTGTATTCCTGTAGTTCTCCACTATCGATACGGAAATAAAAAACGTCAAACTAACATTTTAAATTTAAAAATTCCTTGTATAAAATTTGTCGATTTTAGTGGCTTTCTGGCTTCATACATTTTATTTTATAGGAAAATTTCTATTTTAATTATTTTTGGTGGATAAATTACCTCTACAAAAATACCAAACACGTTCGCATTACAGCCAACGAATTTTTGAAATTTTGTCCACTTAGGCGGCACTGTGCAGATGGGCGATTGAGGCGACGCACTGTGGGGCAATGTGGCCACAAATCCAAAAGAAATTAAACTATTAGTAAATCAGCTGATATACAGATTTTACTTAAATAGTAGAGTGATTTATTCGGTTTTTCCAAACCGGTTCCAAGCAGTTTTTCTGAAATGATGATTTTTCGAATACCGGATTTTTACAATGGAATAATTTTTTCCTTCAAGAAAAATCGCAAATTGGATTTTTTGTTTTTTCGTTAACTTTTGATCATAATATTTAATATTTTTTCGATGATATTATAAACGCTAATTTCAGATTTAATTGTTTAGATCATAGAAGATATAAATGGGTCAGTCCCCCATCATAACGGTTAAAAATGAGCGAACAAATAAAAATACAAAATAACACTTATTTTTTTTATCGAATAAATAAAAAACTCTAAATAACCAATAAATTTGACTGAAAAAATATATAAAATTGTGAATGTAACGATTATTCTTGATTGAAAAAATAACGATTTTGCAATGATCTACAAATAGGACTCTTGATATTTGACGGTAATTTTTGGTGCCTGAAATAAAGCTTTCATAAACCTTAAAATATTTCATTTAACTTGTCAATTTAATTGATTTTGAATTAGTAAGCAGGTGGAAATCCTATTGAAAAACATCTTCGCAATAAAGTTTCTTAACTGCCATCATCTGAAAGTCATATTAAAATATTTCTTTTCTCTTGCTATATAAATTGATTCTGAATAAAAACAAAAATGAATTAAGAAATAAAAAGAAACGTAAACTACACTACTACACGAATGACACTTATACAGGGTGTCTTAGTAGCACTTTGAACCATCAATGGCATTTTACTTTAAACTCATAAATATAAACATTCACGTTAACCTGCACGTTAACCTGCGAAAAGCAAATTGTTGTCGGGAAACGCATGGTCTAGAAAACCCTGTACTCTTAAGTAAATATCTTGAAATATTTCAACTAAATTGATTTTACTTTTTTTGAAGGTACCAAACCTCTTCAAAATAATTTTCGAAGAAAAGTCATCTCCTCTTTAACAACAACATTAAAATAAACTGATTTGGAATTCCTAACCAGATTACAACCCTCTTGAAAAATATTAAAAAAAAAAAAACATTTTAAACCCTTTTGGTCGACAGCTACATTCTTGACCCATTTATTTAATTTATTATTTAATTGATTTTAGCTTTTGAAACAGGTGGCAACTCTCTTCAAAAAATAACCTAGATTTCAACACATGCCGTAGCCTATCTGTATGTCAAACTTCGTTGAAATACGTCAGCCGTTTTAGCATGAAAGAGCAACAAACGAACTCACGTACTTTTACACAAAATTTAGGTACCATCGCAAGTGAGAACGAGACTGCTAAGTATATGCAAGAATTGCTCATTGAATTTGATGAGATATGGGAGTAGATATGGCGTTGAGTAAAACACACTATTCTAAAAAATTTTGCAAATGCTAAATTTGTCTTCTTTTTAAACTACTCGACAATTTGTGCGTATCAACAAGATTTTATAGTTTATTTTGAGTTAAGCGAACTGACAGGCTATTATTATTAACTATAGTGATTTGAAGTCGTGCTTACAAGAGTGAATAACAAATTAGACATGCAATGCCAGCTTACTATTGAGTCAATCTGGTTAAAAGTATTCAGCTTGAATATGTAAGCAAACAAAGGGTGTTAAGAAAAAAGGGGAAAAAAAAAATGAAAAAAAAATAATAAATAAAAAAACAAAAAATAAATAAATAATAAAATAAAATAAAATAAAAAAAAATAAATAAAATAAAATAAAATAAAAAAAAAATAAAAAAAAAAAAAATAAAATAAAA